GGAACATGCAGAATGGTGGCCTCCCTCTCCCGCTCGACGCCCCCCGGGGGGGGGGCTTTTCTCTCCTCCAGGCGACCGCGAGCCCACGGAGGCCGCGGGACTCGTTCTCGTAGACCACCACATGCTGACTCTGCATGTGGCAACGGCCAACAGCCATCTCTGGGAACTGATCCGAAACGCTGTAGATATTGTGGGTGGCCACGATGGAGAGACGGTTGCGACTGAACTTCGGCCTTGGGAAAACGGCTGTTTGGGTGGATATCCAGGGCTTTGGGTCTGTCTGTCTCTGCACGTGGGGATATTTTCCGCACTCCGCCCAGCCTTGAATGCTCGCCCAGTTGCATGCAGGCGGCCAATCTGGTTTCTAGGTATAGGCACCTAGGTAGCATGGCCCATCGTTGTGGCACCCTCGACAGCGAGGTGGCTTACCGGAAGAACAGTTTCAGGCAGCCCTCGGCACCCTCCGTCATTCAGTTGTTCTTCGAATTCAGTTGCCAATGCCCACTAACCTTCCGTGGCTGCGCTCGCCGGGGACTTCTCGATTGCTGTTTGACGCGGCGGCGTGGCCCCGTCTGCGCGCGCATGCTTTCCAATCGTTGCCCGCGCATCTGAAGGGCCTCCCGGCGGCGGCCCGATTGCGGGCGAGGCTTGGTGACCCCGAACCCTCGGTCGAAGGCGTTTGAGGGCATCCGGGAGAGGTCCCCATGGGCATGCGAATTTGGAAAATTGGATTCCGCAGTCTGCTAAAGGGTTGGATCAAGCCCCCCCGCAATTGAGATCGTTCCTGGATTTAGCGGCCCATCGCAAAGAGTCGTGGTCTCTGCCTCTGCCGGGAGATGTTGAATGGGCCCGTTTTGTTTTTCTCGGGGGAGACCGCGCAAGCATTTCGGGAGCCCGGCGGATGGTTCTGGATCGCTCGAGGATCGTTGCAAAATTACAAGCGTCTGCTGATTGCGGCTTCCTCTGCCCTGGAGCGGCAGCGGGCGGACCAGTGCCGCCTCCGTCGCTGGCAAGCCCACCTACGGTCACTGGCAGGCGGCCGCCTTCCCGCCGCCGCGGGCCCGCGCTACGAGTACAACCGCGCTGCCCACGCGCCAGGGGCACGGTCGCCCGCAGATCTCGCGGGCCCCCTGGCCAGGCCGGGGGGCGCGTGCTACATATGCCGTCGCGATTTCCCCGCCTGCCCCCGCCTCTGACGACATCTTCGGCACGGCTCAGACGCGCGTCTCCAAGGGTTGGTCAAATTAGGGCGGTTCCTACCAGCGGAGGAAGCCGAGGCCTTCACGGAGCAGGACCAAGTGGACGCCGTCGCCCTCAGCGCCGTCGGGCTTCGCCCCGCGTCCGCCGAGACACCCCCTCTCTGCCACCTGCTCTGCTCCCGCCGCCACCGAGCCAGCCGTGGCTCCCCGCGCGCATCCCAGTCCCTGCCGCGGCGAACAATGCAGAGCAAATCCCCTTCATCCCGCGTGTTCCCAGACCTACCGTTCGCGACGTGGTCCGCAGAACGAGAGGGCGTGCCCGCAGGATGCAGAGGTCCCCGCCCAGTCCGATTCATCAATCCAATGTGGGGTCCCCCGCGAGTTACACATCTGAACGGAAGCAAGCTGGGCTGGACAGCGCTCTGCACAGGTTGAGTCCCATTTTCACGCGTGCGTGCTGTATCTTTGGGGCGACTGGCACTTCTGTCCGTCCCGCACACCCTTTCTGCCCCTTGCCCTCTCCAGCTGGTCCTTGCCAGAGATTGTCCACCTGGGCACCCTGGGCAGGCAAGAGGCCGCCGGCAATTCTGGTGTTAGGGGGGCCGATCAGGGCGAGTTCGCGGCGCCCGCGGTCGAGCCCACCCAGTTTTTACCGGTGGGCCAGCTTTCGTTTCGCCGAGTTTTGTGTGTGGCCTCCCGTGCGGGGTCGCCGCCCTCACGGGAACAGCTCAGGCAGGAGCCTTCGCGAGGGTGTTTTTTTTTTTGTGAGCGGCACAGCCAGCGCCATCCGAGCAGTACAGCTCGGAGTTGTGCGCTTCCATCGCAGCACACCTCTTCCAGGCGGTCAGAGTTAGGCTGCCAGAGGCGGCCAGGGCGCATTCTGCAGGCGGTGGAGCCGCATTCTGGGAGGATTTCGTCCTTTCTTAGTCCCCCCTTCAGTTTTTGTCGATTACATTTCCCCACCTCTCCCCCGACTCCCCGCAAACTGCGCGTTCGCTTTCTGCGTCGCGCCTGCCTGCGTCGGTCGGGGGGGATGGGGAGCAAGGGAAGCAAGAGGGGTGGGTGCAAGCACGGAATATAAAAATGCTCCGCGGCAAACGTCTGGGCTGCCACGGGCAAACCGCTAATATCAGTGGCCCCAGATCATGCTTCATTTTGATGGGGAGCGCGGCGTGGGTTCACATACCTAATGCACCATGAAGGCGGGTGACTGGGGAGAGTTTGGCGGAGGGGAACAATCAGCAAGGATGGCGGAACCTAATTATCACCCGGGTGCGCGCGGCACCTAATCAGCTTTCGCAGTAATGGAAAGGGTGCCGGGTGTGCGCGGCTCCGATCCAAGTCTCGCAGTACCAATGTTTTTTCTTCTCTTCGTCCTCCCCTTGTCCTCTTCCCCCTCCTCTTTTTTTTTGAAGGGGGCGCCCTTGCTCAGGTTGCGAATAACACATATCACAAGCTCATCAGCAGATTCTTGATTGTTCCTCTCAGACCACAATCCTCCATTTGGAATGCAGAGGGTACCTGCGACACATACTTGTAGACATATCCAACAATGACCCTTTGTGTTGTCTTTCAAGCTTTGGTACATGCGATCAGCTGCGCCCCGTAGGCTCCGCCCAAACTGGGGACGAATCCCCCATCTGAGTAGAATTGCAGTGCAACTGCTCCGGCAGCATGGCGTTGGACGAATTCCTCTGCCAGCGTGCCACCATTGCTTCGTGTAGTGACTGCCTGCTTCACCAAGAAATTGGCGCCGATGTTCCATTCGCGCGCCCTCCAGTCGACAGGGTCCAGACATCCTGGCCCAATATTTTGCGCGTCTCGCTCGTAGTTCGTATTTGTGATTGCCATGGTCGAGTTCGCCAATCCCTCTTCCTCCTCATCCTCCTCCTCCTCCCCATCCTCTCGAGCTTCGTGCCCTCCTCCCCATCCTCTCTTTTTCACTCAGTGCCTCGCTGCAGCTGTCGTGCCTCGGTGCCGTCGGGAAGGAAAAGGATGAGGAGGAAAAGGAGGAGGAGGAGGATATCCTGGATGCTGCAGCGTCAGCGTGAAAGTTGCGAGGAGGAGGGGAGGACGAGTGCAAGGAGGAGGAGGAGAGAGAGGGATGAGGAGGATATCGCCTGACCACCAGAGCACCACGCGCAGACTTCTGCCTGTTGCCTGGGCCGCACTTTTCCAGGAGGAGGAGGAGGAAGAAGAGGCGGAGGAGGAGGAGGAGGAGGAGGAGGAGCAGGAGGAGGATTTGATAGCGCGCTGGCCGGTGGAATCGGCTTTCCTTCACTGCGCAGGCGAATTGGCCAGCGACGCCTGGGAGGCTGAACCTGGAGTTTTCCTCCCTCCCATGGCATGGTCAGACAATCTGATTGCTGTTGGGGCCAGCGCAGACCAGTCCATGCGGCACTTGGTGCACGTGGAGAAGGCGCTGTACATCGAAGGGCTCAAGATCAAGCCGTCTAGCCGGGAAGTATTCCGGATATCGCAGATTGGCTTGGGGGAGTCCAAGGTGACGATCCAAGGTACGGAGTGGAAGCTCAAAAATGACGTGTTGTTTCTCGGACACATTTTGGAATCCTCGGGGCGCACCTTGAAATGCCGTGACGTTGCCTTGCGAAAGATCCAAGGGATGTTCCATTCCAACTCGAGGCTTCTGCATAACCAGGCGCTGTTGGTGGCTGAGCGGTGCAAGTTCTGGAACGGGATGTCCAACAGCCTGATGCCCTATCACTGTCTCCGGTGGCATATGAACAAGAAGAGGCTGAACTCGCTGGACGCCGCGCAGCTCCGCTTTGTCTCTGCTATCCAGCGAGTGGGGCGGTAGGATGGGGAGCCGTACCGTGTATGGCGGACACGGCAGGCCAACTCAGCCAGAAGTCTTCGGAGCAAGCCGTGGAGTTTTCTGTGCATCGAGCGCTGCATGAACTGACGCAGGCACCGGCCTGGAGCGCCACCCAGACATGCCGGCTGCGATGGCTCTGAAGGTGCAGCCGCCGGCGTGGCTGCGCGAACGCAGGGCAGAGCAACCCCGCAGCGCGCGCCACTCGCTCGATGGGGGCGTCACCGGCACTCGTGCGAGCGGCGGCCGCCCCAGCCGCTGGGAGACATCCTGGGCAGAAGTGGTGGAGCGAGAGCCTGACCGGCGCCAGGCCACAGAGGCCGAGGTCAGCCGAGCGATTGTTCTTTTTGTGCCATGTCGTCCCGCCTCTGTGTTCCTCCGTCCTTCCTTCCGCTCCTCCGCCTTGCCTGCTCCGTGCCTCCCCCCCCGTGTCGTGCTTCTCCGTGCTTGTGCCTCCCCCCCCCGTTCTGATTATTGTCTCGATTTGCTGCAGGGCTTACGTAGTATTATCATCTCTGCTGCACCCGTGGGCTCCCGCGTGACTCTTGTGGGCCTCTGGAATAAGAGTTCGATCGCGGTGGTGCGTCCAGAGCTTGTATGTCTCATGTCTCAGGTTTCAAGTGACGTTGATTTGGTGAGCATCTAATTATAGATGGGAGGAAGAAGAAGAAGAAGAAAAAGAAGAAGTGGAGGAGGAGGAGGAGGAGGGGGGATGGAGAGGAGGAGGAGGAGGAGGAGGCGGAGGCGGCGGCAGAGGTGGAGGCAGGGGGGGAGGAGGAGGAGGAGGAGGAGGAGGAGGGAGGAGAGGAGGAGGAGGAAGTTGAAGAAGAGGAAGCAGAAGATGAATAAGAGGAGGAGGAGGAGGATGAGGAGGAGGAGAGAGGCGAGAGGGGAGAGGGGTTTGGGGGGGGCAGGAGGGGAAAGAGAGGGAAGATGCGAAGGGAGGAGGGAGGAGGCGCCGCGGCCAGGCAGCGTGGGGTGCTGTGAGCGGCGGCCCTGCCTCGGCCGCGCCTCCGGCGGACTCCTGCGTTCTCTGCTCCGCCGCTTGGAAGGGGGGGGGGCAGGCCGGGAGGAGTAGGAGGAGGCGGGGGGGCAGGAGGAACAGGAGGGCGTTTGAATCTGAGTTTTGTTTAGATTTTGTTCGCTGTGCCTGTTTCGAGGAGTTCGCGGTGGGCTCCCGAAGAAGAGGAACAAGAGGGTGAGGGTGGGAGAACAGGGAGGGGAAGGGTGTCGCTGGCTCGAGTGCGTGCTGGGGAGGAGGAGGCGCGGGTGGGGGCGAGGAGTTGCGAGAAACACCAGGAGGGCCGAGGGCGGGTGAGGAGCGGGTGGGCGAGTCACGGAGGGCGCGACGGGGGGGTGGGGGGGGGAGAGAGTGGCGGAGGACGGAAGAGGAGCGGGAGGAGCGGGAGGAGGACGAGGGAGGGATAGAGACAGGGAAGGGGGCGGGGGAGGGGGGCGAGGAGGAAAGAGGGCAATGTCCTCCCCTCCTCCTTGCTTTGACAGCTGGCGCCCCGAGCGCCGCGCGTCCGTGCCCGCACCCCTGCCTGTGACCGCCCGGCGCCGCCGGCGGTGGCCTGCCTTGCCGCGGCGGTGCGCCTCCGCTGGCTGCTAGCAGAGACTGTGGACTTCCTTGCGCACCGTGCATGACCCTGCAGAAAAAGGTTCCGCAGGACGGAGGAAGCTTGGAGTGAGAGAGAGAGGGGGGGAAAGAGTAGGGTCGTGAACTTTTGAATGGCGTGTGGCGCCGCTGGTTCTGGCCCACCACGCTTCGGCGCAACACGCCAACCGCGCCCCAGTCCCATGCGCAGAGCGCCCCCTGGCGGCGCCTCTTGCGCTGCCCCTGGCGCGCTCCGCGCGCCAGGGAGAGGGCCCGATCGCCGATCCAAGAAGCCCGCGCGCACCTCCAAAAGCTTGCGTCCACGGCCAGACCTAGCACAGAATTCGCCGGCCCAACGGGCCAGAGGCTTGCTAAGATCCCCGGTAACTGGTTAACAATACTTGTAATTCGCGCGCGCGGGGCGGCCCCTGGGGGCCCCGGACGAAAAGTACTCCGGCCAGGTCCCGGTCCATTCCCAGGCCAGTCCCGGCGATCCCCCCAGAACGCCCCAGGGGAGGGCCATTTTGCGACACCCCTCACAAGGATCGTGGCCTCCGAGTGGGGAGCCGCAATCGACTACCTCCCCCTCCCGCCCCAAGAGGCCCCCAAGAGCCTCCCTCAAGAGGCCTCAGGGGCCCCCAAGACGCCTCCAAGGAGCCCCAAGAGGCCTCCAAGAGGCCCCCAAGAGGCCCCAAAGAGCGCTCCAGGGCCGGCAGAATGAGCGAAGCGATCCGCCGCCCCACCGGGTACGGCGTATGAGATCCCCCCGCACGGTCTGCACGATTTGTCCTTCATTCTTCTTACCCACGCACTCCTCATCTCGAATTCCTTTCCTCTGAGCTCTTGCCACCCCTCCTGGGGTCCTCCCCGCGGGTTGGGCATTCCGCTGGTCCGACGCTTCGGCTGCTCATGCGCTGCTCTGTGGCCGCCATTTTCGTCCCACGACGGTCCTCCTTTGACGCACGGCGTTTCCCGGCTCCGCCCGGGCCTCTCCAAGATGTCTCCGGGAGCCCCTAATTTCGGCAGCCTCCCAAGGCCCTCTGGGGCTCATCTTCCCCACTTTGGACCGTTCGACAGGCCTCTACAGTTCTCTTCGAACCACGTAGACAACAAAAACCCAACAAGCCCCAAATAAACCCTCGTAAAACACATGGGAATTTGACGATTCTAGGATTCTCGGGCTTCTCCTTGCGCCTCTCTGGGAGCCCCCGTGCATCTCTGCGAGCGCTTGCGGCCATCTTCGACTCTGCGGATACTCTCTGCCACCGTCCTGACGGCATCTCGGAGCCCTCCTAGGCCGGCTGGTTGCCGTCTTGGCGCTTTCTTGAGCCGTCATGGGCGCACACAGAGGGCCCCTGGAGGGCGTTCTGAGGCACCCACACTAAATTGTGATGTTTTTGTTTGGTGTGTCCGTATACTTCTTTCGTTGCGTGCGCCGTGTTCGACCTCTTTGGGGGGGCTCTCCAGGGCGTATTTTGAGGCCTCTTCGACCCATTCGGGAGCCTCTTCGTGGCGTCTTCGGACTCCTTCAAAGCTTCTTCGAGTCCGCTCCCTCCTCTTCAGAGATTCGTTCAGCTACCTGCTCTTCTCCACCACACCTCGACGACACGACGACAACGAAGCATTTGACGCCAACGACGCCGACGACCCCGTCAATCGCAAATATTCCAAGGGGGTCCCGAACTCCTACACCACCTACATCTCACATGGCAGATCCTTGCACACAGCATTGTGGCCATTCTAGTCTGCGGGGCGTTGTACCAATTTCAACCACGACGCCCAACAAGACGAACACGAAGCAGGATAACACCAGCAACTCCACCACAAGCACTGGAAGCAGCACGAACGGCAGTTCCACCAGCAGCCTCAGGAGCCCGAACAAATTCACAACCAGCAGCAGCACCAGTCCGCCGACGACGTCGACGACGACCTACTCAACAACAATGAAAAGGACGACCACCACGGCCACGACGTCGAACACGACGACCATGACCATGACAACGACGCCAAACACAACAACCACGAAGCAATGACGAGCACCACCACAAAGCCGAAGACGACAACCACGCCGTGGCGATGTCGTAGTTATCTCTGCGGCACAGTGGTCTCCCCCCCGAAGTCCACGATCCAAAAAGGTGGGGCGGCGGTGTCTGCCCCCTCAGGGGCGTTCAATTAAAGAACATCCTTCAAGAACATGGGACCCTCCGCTGGCCAAGCTGAAGAACATTCGGGGTACCCCCCCCAGGATGCACAAGAACATCCAACAAACACGAAAAGCATCAGGGCAACTTCCCCGAACCGGCCTCGATCTGATGTCTCGGTCCGGCCGTGCGCAGTTGTGCTCCTCCTTTGTTACTGCGCGGCCGTCATGGCCTGCGTGCGCCGCTCCTCTCCGTTCCTCCTCCGCGGCCGCCCCCTTCGCGCCTCCCCGGGCCGCCTGTGCACCATTCGCGCTGCAGCGTCCCCTCGTGGGCCTGGACGTCCGCCAATGTGACTGTTTCTCCAAGTAGGCATGCCTATGGAAGTCCTAGCGCCATGGAGCAGAGAACTGGTCCACTGGCCCCCACTTCTATGGTGCGTCAAACTGTGGCAGTGGCTTCCCCTGCTATTTTTGCAATGGTTGTTTCTGCTATTGTAAAGACTCCCTCTGCTATTGCAATGGCTTCCAGTAGCGTGCGTAGATGAGAAGACTACATGAATAGAGTAGAGAATGATAGAGTAGACAATCATAGGGTAGATAAGGGTAGAGTAGCGCAGAGTCGAGTATAATGTAGCAAACATGATGATGATACCACTCATGCGATAGCCGAGTAGGGTAGAGTAGGGTAGGAGTAGAGTAGAGAAGGGCAGGGCAGCGTCGACTAGAGTAGGTTATATTACATTAGGGGAAGGTCGTGTCGTGTACATTGAAGCAGAGTAGAGCAGGCTAGATGATAGAGTAGGATCAGATCGATTTGAGTATAATTAAGGGAGCAGGGTAGAGTAATGTACAAACAGTATATGCGTACTGAGGAGGGGAGCTCAGTGGCGTAGGAGTTGATAGGTTTGAGTGGAGTAGAGCAGTTCTGAGTAGAAGTGAAGAGATTGGAGTAGAGCCGTGTGCATTAGCGAAGGAGTAGTTTAGAGCAGAGTAGGGTAGAGTAGGATTGAGCAGAGTAGAGTAGAGTACAGTAGAGTAGAGTAGAGCAGAGTAGAGCAGAGTGGAGAAGAGTAGAGTAGAGTCGGGCAGATGGTACAGTAGAGTCGGGTAGAACAGAGTAGAGTAGAACAGTCTCAGTGTAGGGTAGAGGATTAGTGGATGGGAGGAGCGCAGAGTAGGAGTAGGAGTCTAGTTAGCCAGGTCGAGCGAGTCAGAGGGCCCCGCCTACTCCCACCCTCCCTCCCGCAACATAAGAATCAAGTGTGGCACAACTTGGCATTGAGAGAAGAACGCGCTCCCACCTCACAAACGGAAGGCGCTCGCGCGCGGTCCCGCCCCCGACGACTTGGCCAAGAGAACACGACGCGGTCCGCGCAGGAGCGGGGGCGGCACAATTTCTGATGGGCTTGGCGAGGACGAAGCACGCGCCGCGCTGACACGGCATTGCCGCTTTCTTTCGGAAGTTGCGCGACCTTTGCTCGAGGTCGGCGTTTGTCCCGTTCTCGCGCGGCCCCGCTGTCGCTGTCGCTTCCATGCGCTTCGGCGAACGAGCCATTCGCCATGCCCGCGCCGGAACGCCACTTCCGACCTAGATGCGGAGGGAACTTGGCCGCGAGGACCACGTCGCCCACTCGCGCGGGCGCCAGCAGTATGCGCCGCGTCGAGGCGGGAACGCCAGTTTCAGGCCAAATCTGCGCGGCACCGAGGCGAGAGCTACAGTTTCGCCCGCTCGCGCGTCGACGAAAAAACGCATGCGAGGAGTGTGCACCCTGCCCCAGCGGGAGCTCAGCCCTTTGGAAACGTGAGCGCGGCGCCGAGGAGAGAGCGACAGGTTGTCCTTTTTCGTGCGCCCCGTCCCGCTCCTGCCACGCATTCTGCAGCATGGAGGCCATCATGTCCAGATTGAAGCGGAGTTCCCATGTGGGATGGAAGGGCTCCGATGTGGTCGCTATCGGCAGGCAGGGATCCGGAGTGGGACAATACAACAGTAGGGAATACGGGTCGAGCAGGGCAGTGCCGGAGTTGAGTAGACCAGGGTCGAGCAGGGCAGAGTTAGAGCAGGGCAGGGTAAGGTAGGGTACAATAGAGTCGAGCAGAGCAGAGTCGAGTTGAGTAGGGTAAATGGTATAGAAGGGTCGGGAGAATAGATTAGAGTAGAAAGGGGTAGAGTCTACCCCAGCCCAGTCTAGTCTACTCTAGTTCTGTATAAATCAGTCCGCTGCATGTCGGTCTTCTGATCTATTTGGAGTC